TCTCATCTTCTCTCTCTCTTTCATTCTTTCTTGGTATCTTCTCTCTCTCCTTCTCCCCCCCCCCCTCCTTCTTTTTTGGTTTTTTCCCCCTCCCCTTCCCCCCCCCCCCCCACATCTGCTATCCTCTCCTCCCCCTTCTCTGTTTTTCCTCTTTGTTACTGTCTTTTACTCTCTGGCTTTGATCTATATGACTTTAATTTATATTCTATTAAGTGCTTGTTTCTAAGAGACATCCTGTATGGTGTACATTCGTGTCCTCAAAGGGCTGAGCTGGGTATGGAATGATTTAAGTGAACATACTGGCTGCTTTGCTCTGGGGGAATCTTTTGTCCTTGGGTTTGCCTCAGATCCTCTCTGGGTTTGTCCCAGAGGATGCACAATGCTGTTTTCTTCTAACGAGTCCTTTAGATCAAATGCTTCTTCCCCAAAGACAGCATGAAACCATGCATCAAAAAATCAAGGGAAGTCTTGGATGCTGGGGAGGTGATGTTAGATTTCAATGAGATCCTAAAGTTTCCTCAAGGGCTGTGACTGACAGCTTTCTACCTTCTGCAGAAATCAGCATGGTTTTGGGCTCTCATTTCTGGATTTTGATTTTTTTCCCCTCCTTCATCCCTTCTTTGGAGCTCCCATTATTTGTCTTTGTGCCAATGTACGGCAAAGAGAGTAGTGTTTTTGCCATTCTGGCTTCTCTGGAGTCTGGCCCAGTTGCAGAGCTTCCAGTTGACTTCAATGGCACTGTTCTGTTTGTGTCATAAGGTTTCTTTGCACATACTGTTCCCTCAGCTTCCTGTGCTCTTCCCTGTCTTGCCAATCTGACAAACTTCAACTCAACTTCAGAACCTCCTATGGGCATGCCCACCTCTGAAACCTGCCCTGACATTCTTCTGCCTTTCTCCCATAGGCCTGTCTGTTCATACATTCATTCATTCAACCATGTTCACTGAGTTTGTACCATGTGTGAGGTGGACAAAATCAACATGGTCCCTGTTTTTGTGAAGCTCAAAATCTAGTGGAGGAAACTAAATAAACAAATCCTGGTGTCATCCTTGGTCCTCTTTTACTTCCTGCCCCCATCAGTGAGGTCTATTGACCTTATTTCCAAAGTACATGTGTCCTCCGTCCTTGCCCACCCAGGTTTCACCGTGCTAGTCCAAACCACCACTGACTCTTACCTGGTAATAGATCTGCAACATAACCAGTGCCATTTTAGACAAGCCAAGTGCAAAATGGTGCCATCCACCTCCTCCCCTCCCCTCCCCCATTTTCTTTTACAAGAAGCCTCATGGTTTCAGAGAAAATGAAACTTTTGGCATTTCCACATGTGCAGAACTCTCCATTCCCATGACCTAACTCAATCCCTACCCTGGAATCACATCACTCAGCTCTTGGTGCCAACATACCTATATAAGCTCTACCACCCCCACACCTGGTGCTGTCCCCATTTTCAAGGCAGCCCCGGGCTGCCTGCCACTTTGAGCACAGCTGGGCAGATTTTCTTCCTTTAATAAAGCTTGGACGGTACCAAGCATCTCAGCTCACTTTCTTTCACCTGGATACTGTGAGAGTATGATGGCCTTTTCTTTTTTTCCTTTATTTCTTTTCTCTTTTGCTGTTGTTGTTGTCATATCATTGTTCCTTTAA